TTCCACACTAACATCTGTGAATAAGCAAAAGATGCAAAAAGTTTTCTTCGATTCGAAGTCACGAAAACATAAAATGGAACAGAATTGAGGGTACAGAGACAACAATGATCAATACGTCTAACTGACGTACTGAGAACAAGAAATCGAAGAGAGATGAGAGAAACAAGGAAAACTTAACAGTTGGAGAGCTTCGATGAACTTGTCGTGCTCTTCTTCGGTCCAGCTCTCTCTGGACTTAGTTATTGTGTAGGGCTTCCGTACTTTCTTTCCATCAGTTGTTGTTGAGGTAGCCATGGATTGAGAATTTGAAGAGCTCGAATTCATGGCTGTAGTGGTGAATCATACATACGGATACGGAGACGGAGAGAGACAGAGAGAGAGAGAGAGAGAGCAGGTTCGCGCGGGCGGGTGGCGCAGTATGTGTGTGCGTACAATTGAGCTGGTGGCGTCAATTAATCGCGCACTTATAAACAAAACTTATGAAACGGATTGGATTTTAAAAGATACAAAAATATTTGATGGATTTTATTTTTATAATTTATAAAGAAATTGCTAAACATAAATAAACTTGATTAAAAAATAAACCAACTCAAATAAATTAATTAAAATTGAATTTTAATATATTTCACCTTAATTTAATTTTGATCTCTTAACATACTAAAATTTAAACAAAATTATCAATTCTACTTTCGAAGAGTTGTTTTTTAAGACCACTCTCCAAACGCATTTTGTAAAAGTTGAAGAGAGACATTGTTTCAACAAAAGAGTAAAACTTAAGTTCATATTTATCAAATTATTTAGACTAACGACTCTTAGCTCGAGTCTTTAAAAAAGATTTTAAGATTAAACTGTGAATCAAGTAATGTGGCACATCAACACAAAGTCACATAGATTACATTTTTTTAGGTACTCATTTTAGTGGGTGTAAGGATGTCATAATATATATATATATATATTAGTCATAATTCGTGTCTGAAGGTACAATAAAATATAAAATTCAAGCGTCAAAAAAATTAATCTCACTATATTAAATTTTTTTAACATGTGTATATTATCGTATATGAATAATGTTTAAAATAAAAATTATATTAATTATAAATTAATTAAATATTAAATAATGAAACATATGATAGAAATGAGTGATGCGATATTTTTAAGAGAAAAATATATAAATGATTAAACATATGATAAAAATGAGTGATGTGATATTTTTAAGGGAAAAATATGTAGGAGATAAAAATTCAAATTACTATATATTTTATTATATATATATACACACACACATGAATTAACGATCGCAGCGTGTGATGTACAAAATTCATAAATCTGTCTTACCCTGGCTCATTCATTTCAGCCCTTCAAATTTCCTCTTTCTTTCAACACATACCATAAATATTTTAAAGAATAACTAAAAATTATACTTAATTGAAATTTAATTTTTTTAAATAAATTTATTGAGGGGTAATTAATTGATAAAATGTGTTTATATTAGTCAAGTGTTGATTTTTACTTTGTAACTAATTAAATAAGTGTTTAAAAAATTAAAAAAAGTGAGGGAATGTTTCTCAAATTCTCTCTTCCAAAAAATAATTATTTTATATACATCTATAGATATATCAATAAATTTAATCTCAAAATTTAGTTAAAAGAACACTATTTTACTAGATAATAATAAAAAATCCGAACTTGCTCAGCGCCGATTAATTGGAATATTTTGCAGTAAAGGCGAGTAATCGTGGAATTTTAAACGCTTGGTGGCCCCGCAGTGAAATTTGTGGTGCTAAGTATGAGTTTTATGTAGTCCACCAATATTTGGACGACGACGTCGTGTCAATTCGTACCTCTTTATAAAAGCTGTTACTTCTACTAAATAGTGTAGTTTTGGTTTCCGTGTCTCATGTAACCACAGCCGTTGGATCACGAAAATCTAACGGTTCTTATTGGCCTCTCTTTTATGTGGTGGATAATGAGCCTTTTGCTGTTGCCATCCAGGTCCACGTTCCTTCCATACTTTATAAGTGAAGGAACTTGTAACACGTGGCACAACCAAATGTATTCCACATGTCAACTTATATTTGGTTGGCCCGCCCCGCCAACTTGGGCGACCAAATTTTGGGTAAATTAAGAAACTAAGGCCAGTGCGAGTCTTAATCCACCGTCGTACGTGTTGAAAGACTAGTACATACGAGACTCCAAGCAAATTATGTGAGGAAGGGGTCAGAGTTAATTTTGAGGGAGATAATTCAATAATGTTTCGTGTGGCGGAAGTGAGGTGGAAATGTCGAGAAATATGAGCGTTACATTTTTTATCTTTTAAGAAAAAAAATAAAAAATAATATATTTTATTTTCTTTATATTTGATAAAATGGATATAAAATAAATATAATTTTTTTTCTTTAATGTTTGATAAGATGAAAAAAATATTTTTTTAATTTTTTAAAAAAATATAAATACATATTTTATCATTATTTTTATATATGAAATTAATATATACATAATATATGAATATATCAAATGATATATTTATATAATAAATTAACTAGTAAGTTGAATATTTATCTCCTATATTTTCCTCTCAAAAAATATCACATCACTTAATTATATCATATGTTTAATCATTGAATATTTAGTTAATTTGTAATTTAACACAACTTTTATTTTATACATTATTTATCGAATTATGCATTTTAAAAAAAAATTGATGCTATTTTTAATAAAATAATAGGTAGAAATTAATTTTAAATGATGTAAATAAAGAAATTAATTTTAAATTTAGTATAGTGGGATCAATTTTTTGAACGCTACAATCTTATATTTTATCGTGTCTTCAACTACGGATTCTGACTATTAAACAAATAAGATACATTTCAATACAAATAATTAATTTTTTATCTACTTTCCTTCCAATTTTGGAGGGATTGATTTTGATGAGTTAGAAGGAAATCTCGTCCAACCACTTTTTCATCTTTCCTATTCTCTTTTCTTACCAACATATAACTAAGATCTTGACTCTTTCTCTCATGCAGCTTGGAGTCGACACCGTTCCAGTCCTTGTTGGACCTGTCAGCTACTTATTGCTATCTAAACCTGCAAAGGGTGTTGATAAATCTTTTTCTCTACTCTCCCTTCTTGACAAAATCCTTCCAATCTATAAGTAAGAAAATAAAAATTTTTCTTAATACTTGTTCATGCGACTCATTTAATTTGCCACTATAATAGAAATATATATGTGCAGGGAAGTTGTCTGTGAGTTAAAGGCAGCTGGTGCTTCGTGGATTCAGTTTGATGAGCCCACTCTTGTCAAGGATCTTGAGTATAATGAGTTGCAAGTATTCACTAAGGCCTACTCTGAGCTAGAATCAACACTGTCTGGTGTGAATGTCCTCGTTGCGACCTACTTTGCTGATGTTCCTGCTGAGGAATTTAAAACTCTCACTGCCCTGAAGGGTCTTACTGCCTTTGGCTTTGATTTGGTTCGTGGAACTAAGACTCTTGATTTGATCAAGGGTGGATTCCCTTCTGGCAAATACCTCTTCGCTGGTGTGGTTGATGGAAAGAACATCTGGGCCAATGATGTTGCTTCATCTCTCAGCATCTTGCAGTCCCTTGAGGGCGTCGTTGGAAAAGGTATCATTGTTCCAGGGTTATGTTGCACGAATATGTAGTCTGTTGCTGCGGAAAGTTCACTCTTTTCACTATTCTGCTTTGCAGACAAGCTCTTCGTCTCAACCTCCTGCTCGCTTCTCCACACTGCTGTTGATCTAATTAATGAGCCTAAGCTGGACAAAGAAATTAAGTCATGGCTCGCATTTGCTGCTCAAAAGGTTGTTGAAGTGAATGCCTTGGCAAAGGCATTGTCTGGTCATAAGGATGAGGTACTCTTTATTTTTACCATGGGAGATGTTTAAAATTTGATCTATGATTTGCCGTTGTATTTTTGTGCCTTTTATAATGATACAGACAATGCATATCTGACTGTTATGGTTTTATTTCAGGGTTTCTTCTCTGCTAATGCTGCAGCTCAGGCTTCAAGGAAGTCCTCTCCTAGGGTGCCCAATGAAGCTGTTCAGAAGGCTGTAAGTGTTTGGACTCCTCTTCTTTTAACCACTTTCAGGTGGCTCTACTGAATGAATCATTCCGTGCTTAGCAACGGCTAAATTGTTTTTAGTTTTCCAGGCTGCCGCTTTTAAGGGATCGGACCACCGCCGCGCTACAAATGTTAGCGCCATACTAGATGCTCAGCAGAAGAAGCTTAACCTTCCAATCCTCCCTACCACCACCATTGGATCTTTTCCCCAAACAATGGAACTCAGAAAAGTTCGCCGTGAAAACAAGGCTAAGAAGTGGGTGTTTTCTTCACTTCTTGCTTTTCGTCATAGAAGACTTGTCTTCAAATCTTTGTTCTAAGGATGGTATTTTCTGTAGGATTTCCGTGGAGGAATATGTTAAGGCCATCAAGGAGGAAATTAACAAAGTTGTCAAGCTCCAGGAAGAGCTCGATATTGATGTCCTGGTTCATGGAGAGCCAGAGGTAAGCCAATTAATGGCCTATCCTATGACTATTGAGTGTTTGAAATGGGCCTTTATCCTCTAGAACTAGCGGACAACATGCACATGAAGGATTCTAACGCCCTTGTCAAATCTTCATTTCTTGTATTTCAGAGGAATGACGTGGTTGAGTACTTCGGAGAACAGCTGTCTGGTTTTGCCTTCACTGCTAATGGATGGGTGCCATCTTATGGATCTCGCTGTGTGAAGCCACCCATCATCTATGGTGATGTGAGTCGCCCCAAGCCAATGACTATCTGTTGGAAAAATTGGATGCAAATTGATGGTGTAAGCTCGCGCAGACGAGCAGAGAGAGTGAATGGCGCCCGATGACCTGGAGCTGAGCTACAACGCTCATGAGAATCAAGTAGAAATTATTGGGGAATTTGGGGAGATTGAACCATCAGTTTGGCGCCGTTTGTAGAAACGATTGTTCCTATTGCAATTACGCTGATCTTTCAGTAACTAATGGTTTCAACTCGTAACATGAGCAGAAGCCAAACTAATCTACCACGAATGCAGGATCAACTAAAAACTATCATCGGCAGACTACCCGAGAACGTCATAGGGGCTAATCCTCCTGTGGGGGATCCCCCTGTGAATAACGAGTTGGAGGCCCTTCGCCTAGCTAATCAACATTTGTTGCAGTAGAACAAGGAGCTTTTGAAGCTTCTACAACGCCCTCATGAGGCACGACCGGCCCAAGAAGACCAGAATAACCCACCTCATAGAGAACAACAACACCTCGATCCCCTCAGAGAAGTTAATGAGGGAGAGAAAAATAGCCAGACCTTGGGACAGGTCCCCAATCAACCTCCTAGGAATGGACACAATGAAGAAGTGCAAAGTTAAAATGATGGGGGTGAAATGAATGATTTTTTCCCTTACCAGCAGGAGAGGAGAGAACAATACTGGGAACAACGCTTCAAGGACATCCAGCAAGAGCTCAGCCACATGAAAGAAGCTGTGAAGAGCAAAGCCCCAATAACAATGGATGCCCTGGTGCAACAGACTGAGTTCCCTTTCACTATTGGCGTGCTGCATTTTCCCCTTCCCCAAAATTTAGAATACCGCAGATAGAAGTTTTTGATGGGACAAAAAATCTCGTGGATCACCTCAATACCTACAAGAATCAGATAGAGCTGCATGGATATCAAGATCCTGTGCACTACAGAGCCTTTGCTATCACATTGAAGGGATCAGCCCTGGCGTGGTTCAATAGACTCCCCCCCGCTTTGATCTCTTCTTTTAAGGAGCTTTCCATATCTATTGTATCTCACTTCATAGGAGCTCAAACATATCGAAAGTCGAGCTACCACTTACTAAACGTGAAGCAAAGACCCTAAGAGAACCTCAGGTTTTATGTCCAGAGGTTCAATTCAGAGTCACTAAAAGTAGATGTCCCAGATGAAAAGTTTGCCATTACAACATTTATAGCTGGGTTAGGCATGCAGTCCAAAGATTTGATGTTCTCTATTTCGAAGAACCCTCAGGCCAGTATGGCTGAGGTGCTAGCCAAGGCAGAAAAATACATAAACGGTGAGGAAGCACTCCTCTCAAAGGTGAGGAGCTCATCTATGCAAAAAGATAAATGAAAAGAAGAGAGGAAGAGGAACCAAAGTCCCAGAAGAGAAAGAGGACGAGATAGGTCTCCACAAAGAGACAGAGATCGCTCTCCCAAGAGAAGGGGAGATGTCAGAGATCGCCCAGGACTATCGCAGCCAGAGTTGCAGCCAAGATATGCACCTCGGCAGCTCCTTCCTCTCACTGCAACAATATTGTAGATCTTGTATGAAGTGCAGAACGAGAAATTCCTAAGGTGGCCACCCCGGATGAAAGCAAACCCAACAAAAAAAAGATTCCACGAAGTAGTGTGAGTACCACAGAGATCATGATCACCACACTGATGATTGCATCCAATTGAAGAAAGAGATCGAGTTTATGATCCAACGAGGGCAGTTGCGTCACTATGTAGCTCAAGATAATCAGAACCGTGCTCCACCACCTCCACTACCTCAGCAACAAGCTCCTGTGCAACACCAACAACCCCTAGGAAAAATCAGAGTAATATCTGGGGGATTCACATGGGGTGGAGAGTCCAGTTTAGCCAGGAAGGCTCACCTGTGCAGAATTAGAGCTGGCGAAGCACAGGAAGTTCACATTGTGTCCAAGGCACCTCGGCTGAGCACAACCATCACCTTTTTAGACTCAGACTTAGAAGGCTGCCAATACCCCCATGATGACCTACTGGTGGTAAGAGTTGTTGTGTCTAACAGAACTGTTCACCTAGTTCTAATTGACAACAGGAGCTTAGCAGACATCATTTTTGCTTCTGCGTTTGACAAAATGAGCATAGGCAGGGAAAAGCTAGAACCAGTCAGCACTCACCTATTGGGGTTCGCATGAGAGAGGATATATCCCCCGGGCTCAATCCAGCTAGTCCTTACTATGGGAGATCCACCTTGCTAGGCCACAACAACAGTAAGATTTCTGGTGGTTGATACCCCTTCTGCATACAATATGCTGCTCGGGAGACTTTCCCTTAATGCAATGAAGGCAATCCCCTCAGCCTATCAGCTGGTGATGAAGTTTCCAACGGAGAACGGAGTTAGAGTGGTCCAGAAGACCAGCGTGTAGCAAGAGAGTGCTACATGACCTCGGTGAAGCCAAAAATGTCCAGTTAGATGAGCTCAATATGATGGAAAAACTGGACACTAGGCTAACGCCAATAGAGGAACTAGAGCTTGTTCAGCTTGATGAAGAGCCAGAGCACCTCGTTTACGTCGGATCTAAACTAAGTAGGGAGATAAAAGATCTTCTCATCCAATTCCTAAAGGACAACATGAGGGTATTTGCCTAGAAACAGAAGGACATAGAAGGGATTGACCCTTCGATTATCACACATAAGCTAAGTGTGAATCCCACCTGCAAACCTATCAAGCATAAACGAAGAAGTTTTGCCCCAAAGCGCCAGAAGGCAATCAATGTGGAAGTCATCAAACTTCTCCACGCCAAAGCCATCAAGGAAGTAGACTACCTTACCCAGTTAGCCAATGTGGTTCTTGTCAAAAAGGCCAATGGCAAGTGGCGACTCTGCATTGACTTCACAGACCTCAATTGAGCATGCCCAAGGACAGCTTTCCCTTACCTCGGATCGACCTAATAGTGGATGCCACAGTTGGACACGAGCTCCTCAGCTTCATGGACGTTTTCTCAGGATATAATTAAATCAGAATGGATCCAACTGACCAGGAGAAGACCTCCTTTGTGACTGAGTAGGGAACTTATTGTTATCAGGTTATGCCTTTCAAGTTAAAAAACGCTGGAGCCACCTACCAGCATCTAGTGAATTGAATGTTTCAGAGGCAAATTGGGACGACCATGGAGATCTATATCGACGATATGTTGGTAAAATCGCTGAAAGCGGAGCTCCACATTGCTCATCTAGCAGAATCATTCCAGGTCCTTAGGGAATATAAGATGAAACTCAACCTTGTGAAATGTGCCTTCAGAGTGTTCGCAGGAAAGTTTCTAGGCTTCATAGTCAGTAGTAGAGGGATTGAGGCTAACCCCGAAACGGTTAAGGCAGTCCTGGATATGCAACCACCGTCTAATGTGAGGGAGATCCAGCGCTTGACAGGAATAATAGCTGCCTTAAGTCGTTTTGTCTCTAGATCAAGCGACAAGTGTCAGCCTTTCTTTCAAATCTTAAAAAAGATGTTCCAGTGGGATACCCGGTGTGAAGAAGCATTCAATGCCCTGAAAGCCTATCTGAGCTCCCTTCCTGTTCTGATAAGCCCCTTACAGGGGGGAATTATTGACTCTCTATCTAGCTGTTTCAGATTTTTCAACTAGTGCAGCTTTAGTGAAGGAGTGAGACAGGTCTCAGCAACTAGTCTATTTCTGCAGCAGAGCTCTTAGGGGGGTAGATGAGAGGTACCCAAAAATGAAAAAGCTTGTTTTAGCGTTGGTAACTACAACTAGGAAACTTAGACTATATTTCCAGGCTCATACTATCGAGGTCCCAACAGAACAGCCAATGAAGCAAATGCTGCATAAGCCTAATCTTAGGGGAGGCTGATAAAATGGGTCATAAGCTCAGTGAGTTTGACATCAGGTTCAAGCCTAAAACTGCAATCAAATGGCAAATTCTGACAGATTTCATCGTAGAATTCACAACACCAGCGTCAATGGAAGCAACACAGCTAGTGCCTGACCTCCCCACATGGAACCTTTCTGTAGATGGAGCTACCAATGCTCAAGGAAGATGTGTAGGCTTGATACTGACCTCTCTAGATGGAGTAGATGTCAAATTTTCCCTCAGATTTGGGTTTGAGGTTTCAAACAACGAGACAGAATACGAAGCTGTCATTGCTGGACTCATTCTTGCTCACTCAATGGAAGCTGAACAGTTGGAGATTTACAGTGATTCCCAGCTGGTGGTAAAATAGATAGAGGGGGCTTTTAAAACTAAAGGTGAGAAAATGATCCTTTACCTCAGAAAGGTACAAGAGTTGATCAAGAAGTTCGTGCAAGTTAATATTAGACATGTCCTGAGAAACGAGAACTCACGAGCAGATGCCTTGGTAAGGTTGGCAACAGCCTTACAGGAAAGTTTGGATAGATTGATTCGAGTAGAGCACTTAGAAAAACCATCTGTGTGCATTAAGAATGAAGAAGTGCTACCTGTACAAGCCCCACCAAGCTGGATGGACCCTATCTTGGGGAATCTTCAGCACGGAGCTTTGCCAGAAGATCCCAAAAAAACCGCAAAACTAGGGACCAGGTCAGCCAGATTTTCTATTTTGCAGGAAAACTTATACAAGCGAGGCTTTTCAACACCTCTTCTTAAATGCGTGGGGGATGAAGACGCCAATTACATACTCAAAGAAATCCATGAGGGGTTCTGCGACAACCACATCGGAGCTCGGGCTTTGGCAGGAAAGGCATTAAGGCAAGGGTACTATTGGCCCACGATCCTCAAGGATGCAATAGATCTGGTCAAAAGATGCAAGGTCTTTCAAATGCATGTCAACATCTCCCATTGCCCTCCGGAGCTCTTAACTTCGGTGGTGAGCCCATGACCTTTCCATCAATGGGGTCTGGATATACTTGGACCCCTTCCTACCAGCGTGGGGCAGTGTAAATTCACCATTGTCGGGGTGGACTACTTCACCAAATGGGTAGAAGTAGAACCCTTAGCGACGATTACGAAACAGAAAATCTAGAACTTCACGTGAAAATCAATAATCTGTAGGTTTGGTATTCCCAAGGCAATCGTCTCTGACAACGGAAAGCAATTCGATAACCCTAAGTTCAGGAAATTCTGTGCT